CTTGAGACAGAGACGCCGGCCCTGACTGCCACCCGTGTGTCCCCTCTGCGCAGGCTGGCTGCCCACCCTGCAGCTCGTCCGCCATGGCTCCAAGGCGGTCACTCGCCACTGGAAGGCCATGCACTTCCAGCGCCAGAAGCTGATGGCTGTCACCGAGTACCTGGCCCCGAAGCCGCTCATCCCCGATCAGTGTCTGCCCCCCAAGAAGGAAGTGGTCAAGGAGGCAGAGGAGGTAACTTTCTTGCCTGTGGCTGTTATGGCTGTGGTGCAGCTGTGGGCCTGTTTGTTTGTGGAGGTCTAGTAGCTTTGCAGGCCCTGTGTTGGCAGTGCCCCGGGGGCTGCTGATGCTGGGTCCGCAGCCGCTGGCCGGGTGCTGTACGTACCTTGGCTGGCACAGCCCTCCCAAGGTAATTAACCTGGCTGGTGACCTGCATGAGAGCTTTCCTGAATGCTTATGGCCTTTCTCTGTCATGTTGTGGGTGGCTGTGAGAGGTCCCAGGGCAGTTGGCAATCAAGTGCTGCAACCAGGAACAGATCGGGTGAGCTGCTTTCACAGCAACTCCCGCTGTCATGGGAGGAGTGGATCCGACTGCAGGGCTGGAGAGGGGGAGGCCTTTGGCTCTTCTCTGCTCCTGTAGCTTATCAGGCTGGAGAGGCCAGGCACCCTTCCTCGCGATCCTGGCAATCATACACTGGCCTTGCTGCTCGCTCCTTTCAGGATAACGGCTACGTCAGGCTGTTACGGCGACTGGTAGCAGAGGCATTCCGGGACAACAGGATGATTGTGGTGTGTCAGTACAACCCCATGCCCAACGAAGATATGCTGCTCATGAGACACTACCTCCGGAAGCACAACATTGAGGTCAAGTTTTTCCTGAATGAGGTACGGGCAGCGCTGCCCGGGACAGAGCCTGGTGCAGCTGGGCGTATTGTGCTACAGTGGCTCTGTGTGATGCCTGCAGGGGTGAAAATGAGCCTGTTTGTTTCCCCTCTGCCTTCTGAGAGCTCTCTCTCCCCTCAGATTGTCAGACCTGTGCTGTCCCAGTCCAAGTACAAGAATCTCCTCCCTCTCTTTGTGGGACGCAATATCCTGCTAGTGAGCCCAGAAACCAAGGTGAAAGAAATGCTGCGAGTCTTGAAGGGTGTGCCACAAATCAACCTCCTGGGTGAGAGCCTCCTCCTGTTCCCCGTGTCCGTCAGCTGGCGCTGAGATCGGGCTCTGGTGTGCTGGTTGGGGGTAGTGGGAGTTGGACCCTGCTGCAGAGGTTTGAACTGAAATGGGGATGGGGGGATGAATGCAGGGAGTCTGCAGCTGACTTGTGGCAGAAGTCAGTGGAGTATTGGGTGTCTTACTTGCAGGTTGGTATCTGTTTTCCTGGTCCTGCTGTGGCAAGTGTCTTGTGAAATTTAAACGCCAGGAGCTTTGCCACTAACGAGCCTTTCCAGATGCACCTGCGAAAGGTGAATTGCCTCCAGCTCTGATGCCCTGTAGCTGGTCGCTTGTCCTCACAGTGTGCGTTCATCTTCCAGGCGCCTGCATCGACGACACCATCCTGAGCAAGAAAGGGGTGGAGAACTTTGCCAAACTGCCCTCCCTGGAGGCTTCCCAAGGGCAGACGGTGGGTGCCCTGGCCCTGCTGCCCTCCCAGACGTGCTCCCTGCTGCAGCGCAGCTCGGTGCACCTCACGGCCCTGCTGGATGAGTACATCAAACAGCTGCAGGCTGGGGCTGAGGCGACTGCTGGGAGCCCCACGAAGCCAGCGCTTTCCCAGAGCTCGGAGGCCCACTGACGTTGGCTCCCCGATCGGGTCCCGCATGCACAGTGGTCAGGAGACCGCTCCTTCACCAGGCTGCAGTTGGGTGGTTGGGAACTGAAGGTCTGGTCCTGTGTCACATCCAGTAGTGGGCCTGAGGACAATAGGGGGGCAGCGTGATACCATCAGCCTGTTTGGGGAGCCCCGTTTGCACAGCCCTTCTCTTTGCTCCCTGCTGCCCACGCTGGTGGCGCACAGGGGCGACCTGGTGTGTTTTGGGTGCTGCACTCTAGTGGGGGGACGTGGTCGGAGGGAGGGAGCACAGTGCTTGTATCGGAGAGGCACCAGAATCGGCTGGAGTAGGCAGAGCAGGGGAAGAGACTGTGGCTGCTGCTGGCGTGGAAGACATCCAGCCTGTGCACGTGGAAATGCTCCGGGCGGTCCCAGCCAGGAGCTGGAGAGCTGCTGTGCCGGCAGCGAGGAGGAGGTGTGCTGTGCTGCTCCGCAGGAGCTGGGGGCGAGGGGCAGCGCTACCCGTGCTGTCGCTGTGGGAGCTGTCTCTCTTCCATTAAAGTGAACCACTTGGTGTTAACAAGTGATCCTGAGGGCTGGGCTTGCCTTAACGGTGGAGGGCTGGAAGGGGAGTGTGTCTGGGGGAGGGGGCTTCTTCCTGCCCTGTGTTCCCACCTCAACGTCCTCTGGAGAGGCCAAAGTGGGGTCCTGCTGCAAGGGTTTCTAGTTCACCTGTGGTGGAGGCACAGCCACTCTGGGGCAGAGCTGCTGTGTCAGGACAGCTCTTCCATGCTCGCTGCTTGTGGTGCTGCAATCCGGGACAGGAGGGAGAAACCCCCCAGGACTAAAGCAGAGCTCTGAGCATCAGCAACTGCTGAGGGCTGCAGCGTGTGCCCTGGGATCGCTGTGGGGTGGCAGCTCGCATCCCTCTCCCTTGGGGTGCCAGTGCTGTGCTTGCCAGCAAGCTCCGCTCTCAGAAGTGTTGTGGGGGGGAGAAGGAGCTTGCCCAGACCAAAGCGAGGTCTTGGGCCCTGCCGCTGTGTGCCATGAGATGAGCAGGGCGCTGTTTCAGGAGTGCATTTTTCCAACAAGCCTTTTCCTCTGGGTTGGAGCATTCGGAGGAAGGGACTGGAGTAGACTTGGCATAAGAGTCCTGGGGCCAAATGCGGGGTGTTTCTAGGGCCCAAAATCTCTGTTGCAAAATGGCAAAGCAGAAGGGAGGAAGGGCATTTGAAAGGAAAGCCTGGGTCATGTCCCTTGCTCTGTGGCTCGTGCTGTGCTGGTCCTGGGGCAAAACCGCCGTTGGTCGGG